TTCTTTTTCTTCTTTTTATAAGTAATTTTCTTTGTAGAATCTTTTTCCTTAATAAGCTAAGAAGTGTTTTCTATTGAATTTACTGTTTTTCCTAAGTGGAAACCCTTAGCTCGAATTTGTGACCAAATGATCTACGGGAAGAGTATGATCATTTCTTACTATTATTATTATGTAATACAATTAATTCTTTCTATTTTATCAAAAATATTCTTTAAGGATTTTTATATATAAAAAATTTTTAGGTTCAGTTTTCAAAAAGTTATTATTAGTTAATCTGAACTCTATAATAAAATTTAAATATTTTATTTAGTTTAAAGAGAATTTAATAATATTTAGATTAAAGAAGTTAAAATTAGATAAAGTTGACTATAATAATAAATAAGAATTTGTTTAATATTAGTAATACATTTAGTTAAATAATAAAAAATAAGTATAGGTCTAGTGATCTTAGTGTAGTAGTTAGGTTGTCAGACCACTATGCAAGAGGTCTAAGGTTCAAATTCCACTGTTAACAGAATTGAATAATTACCTAGATATCTATATCCAACTTATGGTAAACTCTGTCTGTTTCTGGGAGTTATAACCCTATAAATTATATTGTACTAATATTATTTGGATATTAGAAGTGTGATAGAGTATCTGAGGAACATAATGTTACATAAATAAATCTTAATAGAATCTACAGACAGAGGATCTGCATAGCAGAAATCTTGAGTTAGATGAGGTAGTATGGATTTCAATAGTTATACCAGTTAACGTTTGATCTGAGAAGGAAAATCTGTGTATGAAAAGATCGGTGACTAGGATACGAGTAAATCTATTAGGAAACTTACATACAAAAAAATCAGCAGAATGAGTGTGTATAAGTCTATTATATAAAGTCATATAATAATACCAACGTGGTTTAATAGCTAACTAAATTTAGGAGGATCTGTTCTGTATGATATCTGAAGGTACAAATGACTTTTAGTAATATCAATCTGAGTAGTAACCAGATTTGGGAGGGCCTATTTTGTGTGATATCTGGAGGCATAGATGACCAACTTGGTAGAAAGCTACAGTAAAAACTAAGTTTGTATGAATATTGAACAAAGGTATATGCAAGCTAAATTAGAATATAGTATAACATAGTTGGTACTACAGCATCCCATCGATTAGGGAGTTGGTAAAGGGGTACCTTGTGATAGAGCCTAGACTCTGAATTATAAAGTTTGTAGACTAATGTTAGCTTGGATATCTTCTGAAAAGAGAAGTAATACAGGGTTAGGCGAACCTTTGGTAAAATAAAGATAGAATATGAGTAAGTATTATAGGGCCAGAGGGTTTAAATAGATAATCTTCAAATAGATTGCAGGTATAGCAGCTAATGTAGAACCTTCAAGCAGACTACTTAAATTAGACAATCTAAAGTTGTACATGTAGCTAGTTGTACTCTTACAATATGTATCATTTACTCACTATCAATACCAATAAAGTTTCAGCTAATAGCATTTGTATAAAGTAAAAAAAAAAAAAAAAAAAAAAAAAAAATAATTATTTGTTACTTAATAAATTACTTTGCCTATCTCTAGCGATACTATATTATTATCGAGTTATTTAAATCCTAGTACTGTATATTCAAAAAACTCTGCTTTACTATATAGCTATGATACAAGTTATTCTTAGTAATCTGTTCCATTAATAAATATTTTTTAAATTCGTTATATCAAGAGTTCAATAATAAATTCATATCGAAAAAATTTTATATAAATCACTTTAACTTAATTCTTTCGAAATTTTTACTTTAATTACTTGTAAAGTGTAAGTAATAGCCATGATACAGCAAAAACAATATTAGACAAGAGATTAGCCAATCACATTTAATGAATATCATTAAAATTACAGAGGAGTACCAGATCTTTACTAATTCACAATCAAATCCTCAATTTTTTATATGTAACGGCAAAAAAAAAAGGCCTTATTGTTCCATTCAGCGCAGAAAATGCTTTGCCAACACTGATTATTTTAAATCCTGTTGGTGAAATGATTGTCAGTGAAGTAATAACGATAAGGATTCCTAGATTTATATTTGCAAAAAAAATCCTTTAACGATCGTGTAACTATACCGGAAACATTTCCGTCGGCTAAAGCGGAGCGAGATTTAGTTAGGGTTAGGGTTACTTTTTTGATGCATTTATATTATTATTTATATATAAATATCAAGAATACGATTTATGCTATATGTAGATTATATATTGAATTAACTCCGCTTTAGCCGACCCCCGTATTTGGACGGTTCCCAGAACAGTGTCCAAATAACCAATAAGAGTTGCACGCGTGTTATAAACTTATCAATATATAAACATTCACATTTCGCGCATACGTAATAAAAAAAAAAAAACCGGATTAAATCAAATGTTAACTACAACAGCCTCAGCAACCTTGACATCAGTCATTCTTCTCGCATTAGTCATAATATTCAACACTGTTCATGATCCATTATCGGCCTCAATAGGGTTTTCGATACTTGGCTGTGCAATAACATGGCGACTTGTTCCCGCGTTAAAAGATAGTTTTTTAAAAGCAAACTTGGTGGGAAAAGACTTGAATAAGTCTAACAAGCAGATCATGTAATTATTTGGTGAAATTTTGCATTTTATGCGATTATTAATTAACCTTTCATATATATTTAATACGTGTTTAATACAGTCCGGAAAGCATGGGTGTCGTATGTGCAACGGTTTATCTTGTATGCATGTTCTTATTTATTCCTTTTCCATTCATGGAATGGTTTACAGGTAAAGGTATCATTTCACGAACTGAAGAATTTCACGCGCCAACTTTTCCTCATCATAAGGAAAGTCATATTATTGAATCTGTCAATCTAATTAT